CATTTCAGTTGAAAAACGCGTAAAATACAGCTTTAATAATGGCTGGAGACGGCTTAAATGGGTAATGAAGAAAAACTTTAATATAAGTTTAACATGACAGCAAATGTACAACGTTTCGACAAGGTTTTGTCATCATCAGATACCTAATTGTCGAAACATTGTACATTTGCTGTCATGTTAAACTTATATTAAAGTTTTTCTTTCATTACCCATTTAAGCCGTCTCCAGCCATTATTACATGTAGTTAGTTGACAGAAGTGTATATGGTCATTAGAAAGAGCTCAGCTTACACTATACTCTACCAACAGTTAATTTGATAATGGCACACAATTTTCCTTACAGTGTACATGTAACTGTCATTTGTATTGTTGTCTACTTCATCAACTACAGCACGCTCAGTGGTTTCTTACCTAAATATGCTATTGTTAGAGAGACAGTTAAATTGTATTTAGGTTTACTTTTATATTTTAGTTAATTATGTATTATGCTTGTTTTAAAAATCATATTTGAATAATTTTTATAAGTTTAACTTATCGCCTGGATTTTGAAAGGTTATAAACAAATATGGCATGTATAACTGCCATCTTGTTTCAGCAATGTATCTCTGTGGGGAGTCTGCCGAAATACCTTTGTAAAGCCACATGGGCAACACTCAATGTATGAGCATAAATAATAATAGACAAAGAATTTGAAAGCAAAATAAAAAATAAAATATTAGTGAAAAGATAAAGAATTGAAATTATGCATATAAGAAAAATACAGCTATTCCAGTGGATTTCTATGAAGAGTTGAAAGGTAATGTACATACTTCCATTTGTTAATTTCAAACATTTCATTGTGCTATATGTTGATGATAATAGATATAGTTAGTGATATAGTAGAGAAAATGGAATATAAAATATAAATATTTACCCAAAAAAACTTTAATATTCATTTATGAGGCTCTAGAGATTATACAAATGAAATGTGAAACTGTAATTTAAAAAATAGTATTCTTATACTTTATATAAAAATCACTTTGCTGGTGAACTACTCAAAGTGCCAGTGCAAATAACTAAACTAAACAATGAATTTTTTAGAATAGTAGAAAAAATCAAAATTAAATGTTTTATTTTTCTGAAACTACATACTTTTAGGAATGTTCTTGTCAAATTTAAATAATTTCATCCACTAGTTTAATATTTGCAATGAAATATGACGAGAGTGACATTACCTACTAAAAAAATCTGTAGCCATTAGTCATAGTGTTAACACTAAAAAAGATGAAAGAGTATTATCAATCAGATAAGAGATTATTTAAAATTGATTTTATATCAAAAATGGATAAATATGAAATATACCTAAAAAAGCTTTACAGTCTGTATTTATTTTTCCAATAAAATATAAGATAAGGTTTATGAAAAGTCAACTATAAGAAAATTGATGATGAATGCAGTATGATAAGATAAGCTCACCAAAGCCTACTGTATTTGGCTAAAATGCTTACTAAACTAGTATTAGGTTAAAATTCAATAAAGTCATTAATCTCCAATGACAAAATTTTTTACCTCTATCTGATGAAAGAATGCTGGCAACTTCTTGGCTAGGAGTGCTAGCTGAACTACGATGGGAGGACTTTCGACGAGGAATAGAGATTTTCTCAGAGGTTGCCAAAGGCGTATCATGAACTTGACTTGCTAAATTACTGTTATCTTCATTGTTGCATGTAGCAAGGTTGACTTCTTCTGAAGGAGTGACTGGGGGAAGGGGAACTGATGAGGGAGTGAATGAAGAAGAAGAGACAGCAGGAGAACCAGAGGTGTGTGATGGAGAAGTAAAGTGATCTGGAGTAAGAAGAACTTCCGTTGAAGACTGAAAATTTGTAGAATAAGAAGAAACTGTTCCTGGAGTTATCGGTGTTACAGTGGAGAGAGATACTACTGAGGAAGACAACACAGGAGTTTGTGCCAATATAGTGGCTGTTGAATTCACTGGTTTCTTTTCTACACAGACATCATTTTCTCCATTCTGGTTATCTACACTAATGTCTGACAAACCATCACGATATACTGTCCAAGAAAAAAAAATCCACTTTACACAATTTTTATCACTGAACATTTTTTCACTTAAACATTCTTCTGCAATAAAAAAAAGACTACTAACTTATTCAGTTCACTAATGCTTGTTGATTTATTTACTCTGCTTTTAAAGATTGTATTATATATAGATATTTAGTGCCAGAGAACAAAAGAACATAATTAGGTCTAACATATGTGCAAAAAATATTCAAAATAAGTTTCAGCCTTGTAAGCAATAATCTGATTCATTTTATTAATATTCTATAAAACAAGATGTTTTCAAAGATGAAATCATTTGTTGGAGAGAAAAAAACAAAGATAAAAATTGAAATAAAAGCATAGCAGTGTGGTATTTTAAATAAACTGATTTCTCTAAAGAGTAAGTTGGATAGGTCTGCTAATAGGGGGGGGGGATAGACAAGATATATCACAAAAATAAACTAAATTCATCTAATACTAACAGAGTTTGAGCAAAGAAATAAAAGAATTAGGCATGACGTGCAACAAACAATGAAATTAAAATAATAAAGTAAAATATTTCATTTTAACTATAAGTCATAAAACAGTGCA